GTGACTTACTTCATGATGAGTTCCAGCACCTCTTCTTGGTGTTATGAACCACTAACACCAAAGGCATCCTGAAACCGTGAATGGCAGGAGTCTAGTCTCGAGGTTACCAAAGCATGGATAGGCTGCTTTGAGACAATGGCACACTCCTGCCAATGTATTTGCACCACACTGACCTCTTCCAATGCCTCCTCCATCCTTCCTGGTAAGTAGCAGTGAGTGACTCAGGTGATCACCACCATCCCACCACATTGGACTTTACTAGGAGGCACTGCAGCAGACACAAAAGATTCGCTTAGGTTGCAACAAATCGGGATCAGTTAGTGACGTCAGGCTGCCGGTCTGATTCCTCAGGGGGACTGCAAGAGGCAAGCAAAAAACCAGTTTGCCTAGTAGACAAACTGTAGTTGATCCCACACATTGGGATGCAGAATGGGATTCATCCCACTGAAAGTAAAGTATGAGCAAGAACAACATCTGTATCCGAATAAACCCTGTGTTCAGGTGTAGGTGTGGATGTCCTCCTTCTTCATGGCATTACTTTCAATATGATGTTTGCTTGTTTGCATCAGCCCAGTTGCCCCAGCATCAAGGACATTTTCCACCTTCTGCCTCTGCCTGCCCCACTTGCAATCAGGGCTTCACCACTTCACCAAGAGACACCACAAACTGTCTGAAGCACAAGCTGATTTTATGGGGAGCAACCATGTTTTCCAAATGCTTCCCACCACTGCAGTTTCAGCCCAGACCTTCCTGCCTCTTCTTATCAAACTATTCTGTCCCTTTTAGTCTTTTGCCTAATTTTTATATTCAGTTTATATGTTCTTGAGAATGTCATTGATATATGTGTTTGTTCTGTATTTGAAACAAAAGGCCATTGATCTTGATAGGGGCATGCAGGGACCTCGGCAACATCAATAATAAAGACCAAAAAAGGAAAGAAAAAGGCAGAGATCTAAAGTAATAATAAATGGGGGAATAGACATTTAGAAATGAGCCCGTCTCTACCTTTTCAGTTTTACTTCTCTTAATCTGTAGGTGCTTCTGGTCTGTGTTGACTGGAAGCACTTCTGCATGGGGCTCAGGGTTGTGGTTCAGGCATACAAGTTCCATGTCCCTACCCCCAGCATTCCAGTGCTTACACAATGTCAATGTCATCAAAATGCTGGCTCTTGCTTTCTTGATATTTAATCCAGATTTTCCCTTGCTACAGAAAACCTAATAAGTAAAAAGTAACCTGTTATACACCTGCAGTCATCTCTTCCGGTGGTCTTCATTACTGCACCATTACTTATATTTCTTCCTCAGCCTTGGGCACAATATTTTGCCTCTGGTTGCCTCCAAAAATGAGTGAAAGAGACCCATTTCTATATATCACTGCATGCTGAGGGCATGCCCAGATTTTGCATGTGTGCATGCATGAGAGAGAGAATAAGTTAATCACTGTCACAACATACCAGATTTTCTCAAAACCAGATTTTCTATTATAGAAGGTGAATTGTGAGATCTTGTTTTTCTAATACATTATGGCTGCACTCAGCCCTGCTTAACAAGTGTGATGGGGAAGCACCACACAAGTTTTTCCAGAGTTGCTGCTAGATCCTAAGTGAGCCCCATGTTGGGCTAGAGAGCTGGGAGGGAAGAAGAGGAGGAAGCTGCTCTCAAGAGCACTGTGCTGAGGGGGCCATCCTGGATCCAGCTACTCTAAGACCCAGGAAGCCCAAGAACTTTGCTTTCCCAGGTTTCTTCTCTCTGAGCTCCCTAGCTCAAGCAGGAAAGTAGTTGGCAGAGGCTGTAACATCACCCATCACTCAGGGAAGCCCACAGAAGGACTCCCATTGTCTCTGCAGCTGGCTCTGATTGGACTGACATCAGGCTTGGAGAACCTTTGGCCCTTCAGATGTTGCTGAACCCTCATGAGCTGCAACAAGCCTGACCTTTATTCTCCATTAGCGAACATGCTGGATAGCCCCCTAACTCATTTATTGGTGCATGAGCTTGTGGGGGCAAGAAAACTGTTTCCCCCCCTTGCTGTTTCATTCCAAACATGAATTTCGTCTTACGTTCCCATGACAAGAGAATATGCTCCGTCCTTTTACATCTAAGCTCATAGGATATTTTTAGGTATATTGTACACTAAAATTGTATTGATGTGCTGTTTGATGTATTGTGCTGTTGCCTTTAGCTGCATTGAAGAAAGGCAGGGTATAGATAATTTAAATAAACAAACAGGGACAAATTAAAAACTAAACCAGCTCAGTGCTACAGAACCAGCCTTGCATGTAGAATGCCCCAGGGTCAACCCCTAGCATCTCAAGATAGGGCTCAAAATGGCCACTGTCTGAAACCCTGGAAAACTGCTGCTAGTCAGTATTAACAATACTGGGATAGATCAACCAGTGGTTTGACTCAGTACAAGGCAACATTGTTGTTTCTTCCTAACTAGTTGCCATTCTGTAGCCGTGTTCTAATAACATAAGGATGGCTAACCAGTTGACAATTCCATGCTTTCAAAGTGTTGACTGAAACTCCCCCGCCATCTTACATTGCTTTCTGATGAGGACAGGAGTTATTCCCGCCCTGTGGAGTGTCCCACCAGTTCTGCCTAGCAGTTCCTACTGATGAAACATTTGGCAAGCTCCTGCTGACCAGCTGGCTCTTTTCATCCTACGAGAGAGCATCATCCTGCCCCCATCCTCAGGCTGCAGAAACCAAAAGTGATTCCACAGTCTTCAACTGAGTGATGTTCGAGGTGCCTCCAATGGGCCTCCTCTGATTGTGGCAACATGTTTGGCAAAGAGTTTGCCTTCAGAGAGCTTCACAACCTCGCACAGCAGGCAGCACAATACCATCTGCACTTTGTGCTTTGGTACAAATTGTTATGGCCCTTAGGCAGTGGAGGCTGATACATTAGAGCAAATTGGGCCCCACCAACCTTAACTGGTCTTCAGCCAGCCTCACCTGCCTGTCTTCTTACTAGCAACCAGTCCAATGGGTGGCAGTGCCTGCCAGCTCCCTCTTCCGTAGCCTTCATGCTGCCCTTGTAGAACTCAGTAGGGAGGAAGAGAGTGGTGAGAAAAGTTGGAGATAATTGGCTGTGCCTATCGTTGGCTCTTGTTTCACCTCTGCTGTTGCTCTCCCTGTCTTCCACCCTGCCAGTCCCAATAAGCACTACTCACCACTGCCCTTAGGATGTAGGAAGCAGAAGCAATTTGCCCCCCAGCACAGTAGGTATCTATGACCAACATAAGGGTCATCATTGATAAAGAACCCAACTCAAGGCTCTGTTTTAAAAAATAATTCAAAGCTCCCAGCAAATTTGCAGGGACCTTTTGCTGAACATTTGACATTTAAACTATTCTGTGCATTGGCAGCTTCTGATCCTTTCCCACATTTTGATGAGTACAAATCATGAAATGCATATTTTCGAGCGACTGGCTTGAAAGATGATATATGTTGGGGGAGCACATGTTTGATGGATTTGCTCTAGGCTGAAAATCATTTTCTGTAAGCTTTGTTTGAACTATCCGTTTTCAAATTGGAAGGAAAGAGGTTGGGAATTGCTGTGATGTGTACAAATATATTTAAAAGCATGCTTGTTAGGAAAGACTTGGAACAAGCATTTTTAAGGATAAGAAGGGGGTGAACCCATCCAGACACTCTGTTGACATCTGGTAAAGCCTTGTTAAAACCCCTAAAATAAAGTTACGGATACTCTCCCACCCCCCACCCCCCACCCCCGATTTTATACCTATCACTTCCAGATATACAGACATGGGAACATAGGAAACTGCCCCATACTGACTCAGAGCAAGCTGATCTTTCTAGCTCAGTATTGTCTTCACTGACTTGCAGAGACTTTCCAGAGTTTCAAATGGAGATGCCACCAGCTGAATCTGGGTCCTTCTGCATCCGGCTGGGAAGGAAGCAGAGAGCGAGGGTTTGCAACTGATGCCCACTGTGAACATCCATTCTCCATTCTCACAAAGTTAATTACATGGAGAAAGGAAGACTTGAAGGGGGCATCTCGCCCTCCCTCCCTCCTCACCAACTTTGTCCACATGAACAATAAATGCAAGCATGTGATAACACACAGCAGAAACAGATCTGTGCATGCTGTGTGATCAGAACTGACACATGCACTACTTTTTTCCTTTAAAAAAATGTTTTGGGCTACTCTCATTTTGACTCAAGAAAAATCACCATTTTATAGTTCAAATCAGGGAAAATAAATACGGTAAATGGATAAAAGTACAAATACTATGCATTACCTCACATTTCACAGCTGACAGCTCACAGTAACTTCCACATTGGCATGAAGTTGTGTGCACTAACATCTTCCCTCCTACTTCCAACTCCTACTTCACACATTAAATGCTCACTTCCGTCTGAGACTCGGCAAACAATGTGACAGAAAATGAGGCTGCCATCGGGGTAGCAACGGAACTGGCGATTCACCGTGCTAGAGAAGAAACCATTTTTTTAAAAAAAACAGTTTCTTCTCCTTTTAGATTCACAAAACATTTGGGGGTACACGTACCCCTACATCTCCCCAGGAAAAAAAACCTGAGACATGCATGGCATTTTGGGACTTATCCATACTAACCTTTCCTCCACACAGTCCTTGCTTTAGAGCTCTGTGCCTAAGTGCCTTTCCCCATCCCCCTCCGAAGCTTTCCCTGTGGAAACTCGCTCTTTAAAGATGAATCGGAGCAAACAGCAAAATGCAGAAGACCCGAGCGCTCAGATATGGAACTTTAAAGCGTGGACCTGTGATTGGAAAGAGCAGGGCAAAAGGTGTGGATATGCCAATGTTATTGGGCCCCCTGAGAAAATGGATCTCTGCATTCCAGCCCACACACTGTGCAGCCTTGCCTCCAAACAATCTGTGGTGCAAAAGGCTGTTGCTGGAACCCTGCAGGCTGGTAGAATCATAGAATCAAAGAACTGGAGAGTTGGAAGGATCATCTAGTCCAACTCCCTACAATTCAGGAATATGCAACTGTCCTATACAGGGATCGAACTTGCAATTTTGGCATTTTCAGCTCCATGCTCTAACCAACTGAGCTATCAGGGCTTTAAAGTTGGAAAGGGTGGTGCACAAACTGACTTGATGGGACTTGGTGAAAAGCGAAGTTAAGAAACATTAACTTCAGGAGGAAAGAAAAGTGTGTGTGTGTGTGTGTGTGTGTGTGTGTGTAATGGGATTGAAGGAAATGACAGATGGTAAATTGGTATAGATTAAATAGGAAGGAAAAGGAAAGTGTAAGGAAAGGATGAAAAACATGACATAAAAATAATTTACATTTCTTTAATAAAAAAAAAAAACACCCAACAGCAGAAGGTGGACATATTAGAGAAACAGCAGGAAAAAGAGAGAGACAGAAGGTACTGTGAAGCCCAGAACAGGAAATATTAAAAAGATAAAATAGTTGGCTCAGGAGCAGCATGGGAGTGGGGGAGAGAGAAAATACAAAGAGTGTTTTGATACTTCCTTTTTTTTTAACTTGGAGGATAATATGAAAAGAGCACAAGAGACAAACAATGCTTTAGATATCTCTACCTGTGCGGTGTTAGGTTTCCTTTCTTTAGTCTTTTTCAACCCAGTTTGTGTGGGTGGGTGAATCCATTGTTCAAATATTGAGCCTGATCCAACCACAGTTTAAAAGCCCATTGATTTCAGTTGCAGGCAGCTATGTTCATGTACATATATCCCATTGAAATGAACGGGCTTTACAGTGCTTAATCTGATGATGTAACAGGGACATCTTGAATTATTTGTCATTCAAGCCCAGCTCATCAATTTGACTTGATGGACCCTGCATGCACCATGAATGAATGAATTTATTAATACGGTCACAGACCAGCGTCAACACACACAATATCACAGATCATAAAAAAATAAAAATAAAAATAATAAAAAAATATCAGAAATACAGAGGACAATATGAGTATAACAAGGATTTAAATATAAAAAATTAAAATTACTTATTAGCGTGCCCCCTGTAATTAACATTTGGGGGTTTGGTCATTATGGGATACCACTTGCTTCCTGCGATTAATTGCAGACGCACAGAATTTGGCTACATTTGATGTAGTCTTGGGATTCTTGTCCTCTAGCAGTAGTTTTAAACTATGGTGTTCCGATTCTTTCCTGGACTTTTGCAAAACAGGTGTAATAAAAGTCAAACGTATATCCTCATAAAGACGACAACGTAATAGTACATGTGAAGCAGTTTCAACTTCCAACGAGCCACAGGGGCAAACCCGTGCTGTGTATGGTTTACCCTCAAATCTGCCCTGCTGCATGCACCATGAATCTTACCTATCACACAATGATGAACTATCATTTTCATAATTTCATCCAGCATCTTTATTATGATCTGTATAATGCAGACCTTCCCTTTACTGGTACCCCAGTAGCAGCCCTACTGTCAAGGGCCCACATGGCTAAAATTAACTGGCCCCTGAACAGTTCCCATCCTCCATTGCTTTTGCAAACTTTACAGAGAGAGAAGAGAAGAGAAAAGAAGAGAAGAGAAGAGAAGAGAGGAAGAAGCTTGCAGTACTTCCTAAAGATACAAGTCCTGGCAATCCTCTTGACCTCCCCCATTCTCTCACTACATATTTTGGGTTTTCAAAACAAAACACACACAGTTTGTTTCCATTTATTAATTGCGTCCCATAAAGTAGCTCAAAGATATTTCGCAGCAAAACATGAATAAGAGAAACAATTAAAAAACAATCCCCTATATGCAAACAACACCACATATACATACAATTTAAAAACAATTTCATATGTAAAGGCAATTTAATATCGTTTTCAAATTACAACAGGAAGGGACAAGAAGGAGGCAGGCTTTGTGACATTAGATGTTTGAGGTTTGTTTTTAAAAGGTTTCTTTTTACTTGCTTCTTATATAATTGAAGTCAATCGGAGGAAGACTAATCCTACAGGTGTGCACAAATGTATTCAGCTGACTCAACATTATACAAGGTAGACTGCATTATATTTCTCATAGGATTCCTGTGGCCGGTTTGGTCAATGGTCTTTGGCTAGCCCCAGCTCACCTATTTCCCTCTGGTGGATCAGGAAGGATGGCAGATTTGCATGCCCTCCCCCAAGCCAGCTTTTCATCACCCTCTGCCACTGAGCCATTTAGAAGATCTGCCACTGCTTTGCTGCTTCAGCAAAGTGATCAGCAGTCTGATATCACTGGGTTGCCCAAGCCTTGCCACAGAGACCTCTTGCCCTGCTGCCACTTCACCATGATCAATGTTGTTTTAAGACAGGGGTAGGCAAACTAATGCCCGGGGGGCAGATCTGGCCCAATCGCTTTCTAAATCCGGCCCGCAGACGGTCCGGGAATCAGCATGTTTTTACATGAGTAGAATGTGTCCTTTTACTTAAAATGTATCTCTGGGTTATTTGTGGGGCATAGGAATTCGTTCACACACACACCCCAAAAAAAATATAGTCTGGTCCCCCACAAGGTCTGAGGAACAGTGGACCGGCCCCCTGCTGGAAAAAGTTTGCTGACCCCTGTTTTAAGCTTCACTTTGAAAGGGCAAAATCAAAACGAGCCAGATGTCAGTGCATGGGGCTTGGCGCAGGGTAGCAAGAGTTCTGTCTCAGTGGGGGGATATCTTGTGCTTGCCCTGCATTTGGTAGTCATGCTTTTTGTGAAACATCAATACTGTGGAGGAAGCACCATGAGCTCTGGGACTTAATATTGCCCTTGGTGGGAATGTTGCAAATCTTTGTGCTGTGCAACTTCACCACGAACCCGCAAAGCGCATAACGCAACTCAGGCAGTTTGCTACACCATGCTATACAACACTGTGCTTTCTTGCATATCCATCTTTTGCCTGAACAGGCAAAAGGATCAAACAGTGCGATACTAAAAGGCATTGCCTAAAGACAATTAAAAGACAAAACAAATGTGTGGCATAAATCAGCTTTTCCTCAGTTGCTGGCAATTTCTCTGATTCTCAAAATGAGGTTTATTTGCAACTTGTAAATTTTTGCCACTTTTAAAATGCTATTTTGTTTTTATTGCTTATATCTTCGGCTTTGGCAGAATTCCAGAAACCTTTCCATTTTGAAAAGTTTAGCATGTTATTAATAGCCAAGTAATAACGAATTGGAAGATTATAATTCATGGATTGTTCAGAGCCCTGTCAATGTTTTACTCTTTTAAAAACAACAACAAAGAAGCACTATAGTGCTTTCTACCTGTGGGCAATTGTGACACCTAAAGCTATGTCTATATAATTTATTACTCTTTGGGAGATTAAATCTTTATTACAATAATGGGCTTTTAAGGACATGCCTGTAAATGTTCTAGGATTCCACAGGTGCTCTTCACGAATGCAAACAAAGGTGTCTATTAAGAAACAACATACACTTGAAAACAGGATTAGAACATAACAAAGCATGCTATAGTGTCACTTTAAAGCAAATCCTTGACTGGACGTGTTAGGTCTGTTTGTTTTAATGAATGCTTCTAGATCTAAGAAGAAGAAAATGCAATAATATTTTTGCAAGCCTGCTACATTTACAGTTATTTCTGATCCCTTGAATATGTGTCTACATCCACCACAAATCATGGAAATGTAACATACCTGAATAAAGTCATATAACATTCATGATCCCATAGACACATTTAAGGTTTCCATTTTTTTATCTTCATTTTCTTATATCTTAAGATAACTCAGAAGCAATTTCCAGCTCAATTATCCTTCATAGATAATGTACTAATTGATAATATTCTGATTCTGAACTTAGCATACTTATGTCTCTGAAGCTTGTTCCTACTTTGGCACCTTCACTGTACTTTTTTCTGAACGTGCTAAAAACATTTATTGTTCAGGTAACCGTATCCAGACATGTAGAAGCTATTGCATGCTTCAAAATGGTTTTAGCATTTTGGTGATTTTGAATGCCTCCAGTGCTACTAATGTCTCTTTCTCCTTCTCTTCTGCCAACCCCCCAGTACATCTGGCAAACAGAGGAAGAGGAAGAGACTACTGGGGTAGGGATTTCTAGTGCTGAAGCAATCTAATTACGATAATTAATTATTTCTCAGCTTACAAATGGCACAGCTTTTCTGAACTGGGAGGACTTGCTTCCAAGCCATCCAATTCCAATATTTGGTGCCATCCCCAGATTAATTAGAACCAGTGCCACTCTTGTTTCTATTACTGAAGCACAGCTGGAGACCATGTGAACCAAGTTATTAATGCATTTCCACAGATGCCCTCAGTAATTGGCAACTTGCCTTTGCAAGATATTACTGTTCTACAGGGATCATCAGGATTATTCCTTCCAGTTATAAATATTGTGTTTTCCACCTGAAGAACACTCACACAAAAAAATCTTCTAGGGGAAGAAGAAAAACACCTAGTAGCACTCACTTTTGCTACCAGGAAGATCAAACAAACCACTAACGGAAGCACACCCAGCCTCTGCTAAGTTACCAAGAGACAAACGTCCAGTCCTTGCTAACTTACCAAGAGGCAAGTTCAACTGTTGCTGCTCTAGTCTACAATCAAGAGAGAACAGTAACTTCCAACATGTTCCTCTACAAATGAGTCCATGCAATGTGAAAATGAAAGGTAGCTGAACTTATAGCTGGCCACACAACTCCTGTACATCAACCCAGTGGGTAAAACAATTGTTCACCTTGCCAGATAGCTTGCTGTCTGAAGCAACTGCACAGAAGGCACTTGCATGAGATACAACTACCATTAGGCATAGAGCAGGGATGTGAATGGCCCTCCAAATGTTGGTCTGACTACAACTCCCACCATGCCTGACTATTGGCCATACTGGCAGTGGCTGATAGAGACTAGCCTTTGACTATTATCAATCTTATTTAAGCCAGTAGGCATTGGTGCATTTCATGCAGATTTTATGTCACCATCATTCAAGTTCTCCAGACTTTGCACCCACTGACACTTAAGAATAGATGAAACATGTTAGCTTTTTTGTGTAGCTGACAAGTTGAACAATTCATAATGTGGAAGTATGTACAATTGATGGATAATACAACGATAAATCCCACAAAGTGCCTT